GTTTTTGTGGGAAATTTTCTCTTTTTTCTCCAATTCTTTTTTATTTCTATGCTTCTTTTCTTTTTTTTCATTTTTTCTTTCTTTTCTCCTTTGCTTTTTTCTCGTTTTCTTCTTTTTTTTTTCTTTTTTCCTTCTCTAATTTCATTTAAACTTCTTTTTTTTATATTCTTTTTCTCTTCATAATCTAATTTCATTTACTGTTTTCGCTATTTTTTTTATACAATAAAAAAAATAACAAATATAGTAAATATTTATTCACCTTTTTTTTAAATATAAATAGTATAATATACCTTTTTGTCTTTTTTTTTTCTTTTTTGGATATTCAATTATTAAACTGAAACAATATGAGTTGTCACTTGATCTAATTCACTGAATATCAGTAGAATATGATAATAAAATATTGGAAAATGTAATAAAAGTATAAGTAGCAAAAAAGACTTCTAGTACCATATGATACCATTATGGTATACATGTATACCAACAGAGTATATGATTGCTCTAGAATATTGCTAACTATCTGCGACTACACTACTGTATCAAAACATTAAAGGATGCAATAAAAGTATGAGAAAATTACATGCTGGCATTGCAAGCTAAATATTCACAAAGCAACTTGCTCATTCCGTATACTAACAAGGTATATAGTTGTATGGCGTTGTTCCAACAATTGCCTTTAACTATAAAAACTATTACATAACACACGTAATCTATATCCAGCGGCACAAAAAAATTTCAGCACTACAAATCATGTTCATATAAATAATTTCAGAATAGTAATCACTTAAAAATGCAGCTAAAACAAACAGAAAATTGTTCAAACTACCATATGATACCAATATGGCATATAACTATACCAACATGGTATACAACTTTACTGGTTAATTTCCGGCAACTATATGACTATACTACTATTACATAACACAAATGCATAAGGAGAAAAATAAAAAAAAAATAGTGTACCAAATATTAATATAATAAAGTATTTCAAGATAGTGTACTATATTAATGTTATTAAAAGAAAATCAAATAGTGTTCCAATTAAATGCAGCTAATACAACCAAAGTAATTCAACTAGCATATGATACCAATATAGTATTTAGCTATACCAATATGATATATCGTTGTACGAGTCGTTCCAACAACTGTATATAACTATAAAATACTATTACTATAATACACAAAATACTAATGTTCATAGGTACAAGAAAATCCAACACAATAAAACATGATCGTATACATCATTTCAGAATACAATTCACTTAAAAATGCAACTAAAATAACCAAAAAATATTCCAACTACCATATGATACCAATATGACATATAATTACACCAATAGGGTATACAGTTCTACTAATTAATTCCAGGCACCTATATATGCCTATACTGCTATTACATAATACACATACATAAAGAGAAAAATCAAATATAGTGTACCGCATATTAATATAATAATGTATTTCGTGATATTGTACTATAATACTATTATATAAAACAAACACATAAAGAAAAAAATCAAAATGCTTACATAATACACAGGCATAAAAGAAAATTAAAAAAAATCAAGATACTATACTATTCTACTATTATTAAAGAAAAATCAAATAGTGTACCAATTAAATGTAGCTAATACAATCAAAAAAGGTTCCAACTGACATGTGATACCAGTATAGTATATAGCTATACCAACATGATATACAGTTGTACACAAAGAGTTTAAAAAATATTTTTTAAATTCAATTATTAAGCTGAATAATATTAGTTGTCACATAATCTAATTAGCTCAAAATTTAGCCAGAACCTCAAATCAATAATTAAACCCACCTTAGTTAAAATTGGTTCGAAATAAATACAATCTCAACAAACTAATTTATGCATTTCAAGCTTCAAGGTCCTTTAATAGTGAATTTTATTTTTATTATAATAAATCTCTAAAAAATTAAACTTGTGCAAGTAAAAAATGTAATAACATATGATAATTTAAGCTAACAAAATGACAAGGTAAAAATACTTTATGATGCAATACTAGAAGATAATAAAAATTAGAACAAAAAATCTCAAAAAATAGTAAATTATATATTCATTCCAACTCTCAATCACAACAAGCAATAAAAATTATAGAATTTTCAAACTTTTATTAATAAAAATAGCTCTAGGGAATTTTATTTTTAAAAAAAGGAACAAAAACTTCAAAGAAGGTGTTCAAATCTAATAACTACCACGCCACAAACTAATTAAAGGTCAGTTTGAGAAAGATTATTTGGACACCAATCAAATAAAGGTATAAGAGATAAGGGAAAACAGATATGGGTAGTCGGGTAATATTTTTAGTTCAAATGTGTATAAACTGTAACAAAGTTTTAGATGGATAAACACGGGTAAATATTTTAGTTTTCATAGGTAGTTAGCATAAATTGCTCTTAAATCAAACCCCTTTTTAGAGGTTTTTAACACATTTGATCGGTCAATACAAAAATAATCCTAATTGCTAGTTAAATATACAACGATTATGTACATTATAATTTAATATATAAAAATATATATATATTTATCAACTATTATTTTGAAGGGGCTATACTGTGTAAATTTTCCTTTTTTAAACTACATATGTATATGATACAATTTACATATTTTGTCAAATTGGATTTAATTAACTGGTGCTTTTGGATTTTAATATGATTTTTTATTTATTTATGTGTTAAATAATAAATATTTATTATGTCTTTTTATTTTATTAAGCCGGAAGGTATTTTATATGGTGGAGCAATATTGCTATCAAGTTTACCCTTTTGATACACAAAAATGTTGAATGTAGTTGTATTTGATTTTGTTGAAATACATATATAGTCACTTAATGTTATCACCAATTATCAGACAGATATCATAATTATAGTAGTGATTAAATAGAGAGAAGTATGTCTTGCGAACGTAAAAATAGCATGGGCTAGCCAGTTTTTGGACTGGTAATTGAAAAATAGCCACTATTTTGCTGCAATACGGAAAGTTCCAGCATAATATACTGGAGATTGGTGCACCTATGTATGAACTTCCAACATATTATGCTGGAACTCCAACACGCGAAAGGTTCCAGCATAATATACTGGAGATTGGAGCATCTGTGTATGAACTTCCAGCATATTATGCTAGACCGGTATATTATACTTGAGCTCCAGTATAATATGCTGGAACTCCAGTATAATGCTAGAGTATTTTCCGATTTTGAACAGTGTTTTCGTTCAGATTTATCTTTACATAAAAAGTGACTAATTCCGATTACTTTTAAAATTGTGGCTATTTTTGAATTTCTCCCCTTGCGAACACCAGAGTTTGGCAAACCGAACTCATATAATGCAATCGCCATTGACGTGTCAAATACACAAATCAACTACCAACACGTGTAAACTATTTTTTTTTCCAACCCCTTCTCCCCTTGCTATCTAATAGCCTGTTTGGCCAAGCTTCTCAAGAGGCCAAAAGTATTTTCTCCCCTAACTTGAGGTGTTTGGCCAAGCTTTTTTTTGGGAAAAAAGTGCTTTTGGGAAGAAGTAGAAGCAGAAGCAGAAAAAAGTAGCTTCTTCCCAAACGCAGAAGCAAAAGCAGTTTTGACTTTTCTTCTTACCAAAAATACCCTTAACAAAATATAGTATATATCAAAATATTCGTTAAACCTAATACTTAGGATATTAATGTATAAATATTTCTTCTTATTTTTAGGATTAAGTACTTTTTAATTTTATTTTCATATTTTACTTAAATAATCTGAAAAGATCTAATTATTGCATGTAATAACAATTTTTGAGATTATTTATTTACTTATAATATTAACTATTAAGTAAATCTATTCATGTCCTTATTAGTAATTTGATACTTAAAAGCACTTTCCGAAAAGCTTGGCCAAACACAAATTACTGCTCAAAAGTGCTTTTCAAAGTAATTAGCCAAACACAAACTGTTCTCTTCAAAAGTACTTTTTTCAAAAGCACTTTTGAAAAAAGCACTATTAAAAATAAGCGATTTCTCCATCTTGACCAAACAGGCTATAATCGCCTGTTTGGCCAAGTTGCAAAAAACAGCTTATTTTGAGAATTGCTTTTTTTCAAAAGTGCTTTTCTCAAAAGTACTTTTAGTGAGAAGCAGTTTGTGTTTGGCTAATTAGTTTGAAAAGCACTTCTGAGCAGCAATTAGTGTTTGGCCAAGCTTTAAAAAACTGATTCTAAGTGTATTTTTCTCAAAAAGTGCTTCTCAAAAAAGTGCTTTTGGAGAGAAGCTACTTTTTTCTGCTTCTCCAAAACTGCTTCTGCTTCTCCTCAAAAGCACTTTTTTCCTTCCAAAAGCTTGGCCAAACACCTCAATTATTGGCCAAAAGTGCTTTTGACCGAAAAAAAACACTTTTGGTCGAAAAGAAGCATGGCCAAACAGGCTATAAGTCACCCCCGGCCCCCCGTTTGCTTTCTTCCTAACCCTTTCCTTCCTTCTCCCCACTTGCCACCTTCAGACCTCCTTCCCCCTGCCCTTTTGAGAAATGTTCTTTTAAGTAATTGGTATACAATTCGTGTTTGATCAACTTTCTTTAGGTAGTGCTTCTAAATTTTGAATTAAGCAAAAAACGTATTATCAAGATTCATTCTACAACTAAAGTTATCTTAATCAAGAAAATGAGTTTGAATATTTATTATGAAAGATTTAATTTATTTAAAATATATAAAACAAAAATAAAGTATATATATTAATATTGTAATCAATAAGGAGAAGACAGTTCTATAAGAGATATGAACTAAATTAGTGACGAATAATCTGGTAAATATAAAATTTTAATAAGATGTTTAATCATGAAAAATTAATTTTTTAAATTTTGCTTTTGCTTCTTGAAGATGCGAAAATTGGTAGCTTCTTCTCCATGTTGCTGCTTAAACACCTCAAAGCTCAACAAAAAAGTGCCTTTTTGCTCTCCCAGAATATCCACTTCGGTTACAATTGCAGTTGCTATGCGCATTATATAATAGAGTTTTATGCATAAAATGAATTTTGCTGTTGGTCCTTAAGAAGTGATCCTTCTGTTCTTAAATTTCTCTCTTACAAGTAGTTACACAAAACTGGAGGCAGACGCTACTTTTGCTGTAGTGTTGTGGAAGACAAACTATGGACTCAAGATATTAGAATAACAGGAAAACAACAACAACAACAAAAAAAAGCAAAAAATAAAATAAAATTCATGCCTTCGGACACTTGTGTGCATCCATGTTATGGTTCATTTCTTTTCGACGAACAGCGTTGGGGCATATCTCCAAGCATGGCTCTTTAAGAGTGTCGTCATCTTCTGGCTGAGGAGGTAAAATCCCGAATTTAAACTGCCAATTAGATTGGCACGACGTTATGCAAGTTCCCGTGGTGTTTCTTGGATGCACAATAATTAAAATACAAGCATCCCATGCATGTGCTGCCAATATGTCAACTTCCTCACAACCATCAACTGTAGTTATATCAACTAGAAGTGGATTATATCAGCATGTCTTACTCACTCTTCGCTCAGTGATCTCTTTTTTGGTTGGACCCTTTCTTCTTCTTCTTCTTCTTTTTTTTTTTGGGGTGGGGGGGGGGGGGGGGGGAACGGCTGCTTAACATTTTGGTCTCAATCTTGAGTTCCGTTAAAACCTCCACATGGTCTGGTTGTGTTACCACTAATATTCTTAGGATGCATGAAAGAAATATGCTTTTTACAATAGCACCATCACTTGGCCAGTGAAAACAGTTACCTGACAGCTATAATCGGTGAAGTTCGGCTCCATCACCAATGGAACTCCCATGTGATCCTTGAAGAAAGTCTAAAAGAGAGAATGGCAGAAATGTGATGCCCAGCAAACATAAGAAGCTCAGATATGGAAACCTTGAAATATATTTGCGGAAGCAGCCATTTGTCTTTTTAAGTAAATTTCATTAACAGAAACAGCGATTAGTTTAAGCATTTGTAAAGTTCAAGAAGCTAATAACTCGGCTAGAAACATCATAGTGTGCCACCACAAATTAGATCATTGTAGTGCAGAACAAAATTTAGATCATCTGCCTCTAATACATTTAACTTGAGTTAAGATCCGTGTGATCTCTAAAAGGCCTCTAAGTTAAACTATACACGTACTATTAGCATCATTGAAAAAGAATGTATGAGAAAAACGCAATATGAAAAATAGCATGAAATCTCATTCCAATAACTTTTCACAGAGGTAAGAATATTGAATTTGACAACTCATGAAGCTACTGTATAACCTAATCTGCAACTCCAGTACATGTTCTAAAGTGTACAAGCTTAATCAATCTTTTTACTTGGTGTAATCTTTGCAACATAAATAACTTCCTTTTGTTTTTGGATTTTGTTAGCTCTGTGAGTATTTAGATAAAAGTCAAAAGAATGTCCAGGAGCAAACTTCTTTTGGTGTACTCAGTTGCGTCCAGGAGATGCATACTGAATGAAATCTTACTTTACCTAATCGTGAGAAAAAACATTACTTTCTAATTATAAATCACTATTATCTACAGTTTGAGTATCCACATATGAGATATTGAGGTGGGGTGGGGGCTAAAATCCTTGAACAAGTCTTGAGCAACTAAAGTCACATGTAATGATACATAAGGCTATATCGCTCTTCGGGCAGTACAAACATGCCTTTTGTGAAGAGTTACATAAAAACAACTATTATGTCTCAATCTTAAGCAAGTTCGGATCGGTTATGTGAATCCTCAATATCCATATACCATATCACTCCATTTGATCACGTTTCAGCCCAATATTATATTAGTTTCCTAACACTGAAAGTTCTCAACATTTTTGGCTGATATATAAATCCCTCCCAAGACAAAAGACGCTCCTAGTTCTAGCAAACAATGAATCTAAAGCAAACGTACTAACAAGACGCTTGATTCCAACTAACTGGGATTGCCCATGCATTTGTTTTCTTCCATTGTGCCTTATTTCATGCAAGGTCTATATAAATTCCGAGATATTGTAAGTCTTTTCAAGACAATTTCCTTCCCTATAACTTTAGGTCAATCTCGTCTCCTTTTAACACCTTCACCACCAAGACTTCACACGTGATCACTGTATTTCGACTTTGACGTAGGATATGGCAAAAGAATCTCAAACATACTTTTCTCACTTTATCATCTATGTGTGTCACTTGCACCTTTCTGCCAAATGTAATCATTTTTAATGGAACACTAATTAAAAATTCTAAAATAGAAAAGAGGTGGTTGGGGAGGTTCAGGATATACACATAATTGATTAGCGAGATCTGCATGCACAGGACTTTGAAGTCCACTAGAGTCTTAACGGAAGGCAAAGCCACATTAGTAATTTGTGAACATGCAATATTGACATCCGAAGGCATGTTACATGAACTCAATTAGAAGTATATACTAGCGTGTGTACATATAAGTATATGTATGTGCAGATTTTTGCTATTTTTTAGTTTATTCAAAGAATCCGCACGAAATTCCATTAACACCTATGTCATCCATTTGATGCGGGTATGCCAACACATGAACATCTTACCTGAACTCTCAACCCCTTCAGTCCTTCACAATGGATGATATGTTGTTTGTGACAATAATCAACAGGAATAAAACTATCATATAGTATAAATGTTAATTACATAAATTTTCATTGATGTCAATCCTAATTTGAAAAGCCTCACGTGGGTTTTAAAACAACAAAAACCTTCCTCCTTTTAATTTCTGTATGCAAATAGTATTAGTCACGTGAACAGACTACTTCTGTTACCAAAAAAAACTGAAATCCTGATACATTGAAGGACAAATTTTGAAAATTTTACTTCAGATGATGTTTTAAGAAAGACTGTTAAAAGAAGATAGACAAGTTTTCTCCTCAGAGAAGCACTTACCGAAAACATATACCACATAATTTTGGAAACAAGTATTTGAGGCCAAGAAGATGATGAAAAGGACTTCTAGAAATAACAGCAACCCCCCCCCCCCCACAACCCCCCCACCAAAAAAAATCATTCATTTTATTTATTTATGAGGAAATAGCTATTGTGAGCACCAAATGAGCAGCCTCCCAAAATCATTCATCTATATCAACTTTAGGAGTGGCAAAATGGTTCAAAGAAAACAGTTAACCACCCATATTATCCACTAAAAAATGGGTTGGATAATGAACTTTTTAAAAACGGGTCAAATATGGATAAGAACCATATTATCCATTTAGAAAATGGATAACCAATGAGTAACCAATGGATAACCAATGGGTCTAACTTTTACATTTGTAAAGCCTCAAATTGGGGTTCCTCAAGTTAGGGAGACTAAGAATTCTCCCATAAGTGATCATATACAAGAAGTCATGGATAATATGGGTAACCTATATTATCCGCCGGTTAACCCGTTTTTTATCCGTATTAAATATGGGTCGGGTCGGATATTTGATCCGTTTTTTCATTACACGTTTTCGACCCGAACCATATCCGACCCAACCCGCCCGTTTGCCACTCCTAATCAACTATTACCTTTATTTGAAACTCCAATATAGAAGGGTTTTATTTCCCGTTATTTCAACCTTTCTTCAAGTTAATAAAGTCTCAACATTAGCTCAAACACATGGTATGAGAACTAAAGTTTTATGGAAATAGTGGAGTTAAAATAATAATCATTTAATATATTTCGACAGAATGCTAAGTAACAAAAAACTAAAGTGCACATGACGAATTCTTCATTATATAAATGCTAAATTACAAAAAAGGACAATCAATTACACAAATCTTAAAATTGGGGAGGTTCTTGTAATTTTGAAAGCCGTATGGAAGGCAATATTGAAGAAACACTTACAGGTAACGCATAAACAAAAATGCAACTCCTCGCGGATGCATGTACCATATTTTTCTGTCTGTTATAAACATATTCCTCGAATATACATATTAAATTTACACATATGCAGACATACAAAACCAATACTCCTCCTATGCACTCCTTGTCACTTCCAGCCATGCTCTATTTCCTGAATTGGCTGCTTAGGCAAGGAGCAATCTAATATGTACTAGCATATGCTGCTTTGATAGAAGAACCATATTTTATAAAGTAAGAAATAGAGACTTAAAAACTTCCTGCTCTGGATAATCCACACAACATAAAAGGCAAAAAAAGAGAGGAAAACATGAATGAAGCAAAATACAATCTACTAGATATGGAGGGTTTATACACAATCTGCGCACGATATTAAAGCAACCGTCAAAGTACTTCACCAGATAAAGAATGACAACAAGTCAGCGCTGCAAAAGCATCAGAAGGACGCAATTAGGAACTACAAGAAGTATCACTCTAGAAAACTGACCTGTGTAGGGAGTTTACATGTATTAATACATACACCCACACATTTGCTCTCTTCCAGATACTTGCATTTCTCCACAAAAACCTATTCGAATAATTATTTCCAGAGATCAAAATAAGGGTGAAAGCATTTTAACTAGTGGCAGACCAACTTGTAAAAGTGTAATATCAAGGAAACCCTGATAAAATACAGAGAGTAAGCGAATAGAAATACTAACCCCACTCATCAAAGAGGAACCATTAGGAAGATCCACCGAATTAACAGCGCACGGACCCATGAGCCATTGACAAGATAATGCAGTCACCCTTGCTTTCAGAAGCATAACATTCAAATATTCAGCGAAAAAGTAGCTAGTTTAGCTTAAAGGGAACTCAAGAAGAAACAATTGTACTACCAGGAAGTAACAATTGTACTACCAGGAAGTGGCAGAGCAACCCATATTTTGCCGGAAAATTACACTGTAAAGATAGGTTAATTTTTTTTTATTTATTTTTATATACTATATGTTGTCCCCTTGACTTCTCCGTTATATTTTGACAACCCTTAATTAAAAACCTGGCTCCGCCGCTGCTATCAGGAAAGCAGAAAATCGAAGTTAAGGAAGAATGATCACTCACCAACCATCAAGGCTGCAAATTTACCACTATCTATAGGTGCAACAAGCATCCGGTAGAGCTCCAACAACAGAGGAGGGAATAGTGATCTCAATATCCGGACCTGTCACACTAGCAGTTATCACAAGGTGAGATATGAAAATCAACAACCCACTTGGTCATATCGGCCACAGATTCAACCACACCTCCCGCAAATAAGAGAAAATTTTATACATGAAAGAAAAACAACAGTAGAATGGTGTTACCGCAGCGTCTCTAGTTTCGGAATTGTTTTGACCAACCGTCAGACGACGTGCCACTTCAATTAGCCCCTCGTACCCAGGCTTATCAGAGTCCCACCGAGTCTCCTACCCAAATTGCAGGACTAATTGAGAAAACCAAGCAATATGAAGTGGAGCCGGAGGTTTAGAATGGGCTTACCTGGACCATTTTGTTCCGGAATAGACTTAAGAACAGGTTATCAAACACGCCGGGCTTGTAAGCAACAGGAGACTTGTTTTTTCTTGCTTCAATCTGTGGGGAAGGAGAGATAACTTGTAAATCAAAAAAATCAAAAAAAAAGACAAAGAATTGAACAAGGGAAGAGCGTTTCCCACAGGTTCTGATGTACTAGTAGAGAAGCACGAAACGCGAATATCAACTTTTCCTTTGAGCGAAGCGAAGAGGGGCGAGGGCACGTGAACCATAGCCATATCCGGACTTCCTATTCTTTCTTTTACTTTCGACCTCAAGTATTTTCTTTAGGTATAATTTCATACCTAAAGATGGGGGAGTACATAATTAGCTCTTCAACTTCCCTTTTGTCAATTAAATTTTGTGTATGAACCTAAATCTTACAGCCGAGTTTCATAAAAAGGCCTTACCGTTAGGGGTCATTTTGGTGTAAGATAACACAGAGATTATATACAAACTAGTTTTTCAGCACGTGCATTGCACGTATATATTATTCATGTAATAAACGATATTATAATATTATATCATATTATTAAGATAAAACTTTGTGTAAATACTTTCACGTGAAAGAATAAAGTAAAAATTTTTATGAATGGTTAACGTGAATTATCGTATGGTGACTTGTTTGTTGCGGTTGAGATAATTAGATATTATCTGAAGCTACCAAGATAAACAATCAAAATTTTAACAGGATTTTAACTATCTTTTCCAATGAATTTCAACTAATGTGTTGAACCCTCATACTATCAAAAGTTTGTTCCTTACTTAATCGAATAAGCATAAGCATGTACCCTTCTTGATCCAAGTGACATGTAATATATTATTTTCAGATTGCTCTCAAGATAATTTCCAAGATTTTATGTAAGCTTAATTCATGTAGTATAACCTTGGAAACAATGCACATATTTTCACGAACGGTACCTAAATACCTAATCTATACCAACGCACTGATTTTATTTGGTAAAGGAATATAAAAGCAGAAATTTACCTTCAACCACATGTTATGTTTAATCATGTCATATAATATAAATATAAAAAAAATTGAGATCCTGATGTAGACAATAAATTTGTGTCGAGAAAATAAAATCAAGACCGAAAAATATCGCAACAATCGTAGTATTTTATTTTGAATATTTGAGTGTTACAAACTCTATGGATCCTCTGATTCTACTTTTCAATGGTAAATAAATTCAAGGGCCTTTGAGCTTGATCTTGAATATGTAGTTGTCGCCACGAATGATGATCTTGTTCTTGAGCTTTAGCTTGATTGCTTGAACTTGACCTTGATTTGTTCTTCTTTCTTGAGCTTGAACTTGACTTGTTCTTCGTTCTTGAGCTTGAACTTGATTGCTTGAAGATTGAAACTTGATTGCTTGAAGCTTGAAACTTGTGGAGGAATTTGCAGTGTTTGATCCACGAGCTCTCTCTTGCTTCTTGTTATAACTTCTGGTCCCTTTTCTGAGTTATGAAGACCCCTATTTATAGTTGTGGAAGGGAAGAGTCATGATAAGAACAAACTCTTTCCGACCAATCAAATTGAAGGGTGACACGGCCGCATTTGATTGGCCAGAACATGTCACTTGCACACGTGGCGCGATTTCTTTGGCCTTTCAGTGTGACTGGGCATGCCTTGTCATTTTGACACGTGGCATGGTCCTATTGGCTCTTCCGTTTGACATGGCGCGCCACGTCATTTGATACGTGGCACCAAACTGGGCCCCTAGAAGATGTCATCTTGGGCTTAATGAAGTGGACTCATCACTTTAGCCCAATTAAATGGACTAGCCCAATGGATTAAGACTTATTTATTTAAGGGATTTTTTCTTACCTATACCATATATGAAACCTTATTACCAAAAATGTGCATAATTCCTAAATTACCCGCCCGGTCCACATTATTTCTACAGTTTTTGTACCAATCATTAAAAGCTAATTAATATCAGCTGTATCTTCCTATTTCTGCGAGCTAAATTTTAGGAGCAGAATATTCTGAACAGATTTGGCGTGAATAAGATCATATAATATCACGGAAATCGCTCATCTTCAATTTATAAACAAATTTTGTTCGTCGAAATCAAAATATCAGTTCGTCGCTACAAATCAAACTATCAGCTCATCGAAATTAGAAGCTCAATTGCAAATTGTAGAAATCAGTTCTGCAAATCTCAGTTTGTCAACTTTTTTCATCAATCCCTAATCAAAAAGTTCAAGTCAAATTTTAGAAATCAATTCTGCAATTCTCTGTTATTCGTCTTTTTTTTTTTAATCCAAAAAATAAAAAAGCGACAAAATATTGAACAATAACTCTGCAACGACAAGCAATCATGTCCAAAATCCCAATCATGCTACATTTTAATGGAAATTGGAATAGCTATGGCAGATTTAGAGATTTTCAAGTTGATGGCATTGTGCTCGATGAGGATGCAAGTTACAGTATGTTGATTTCTACAGTTGCAGAGCAATTAATGATTGATACTTTAGAAAAAATTGTAGAAATCAAATACATTGTGAATGAGAATTGTCCTCCAATGGAGATTAGGAACAATATGGGGGTTAGTGTGTATATGGAGACAAAAAAAGAGAATAAAAACTTAGGATTGTATCCGTTACTCATAAGTGTACGAGATTTCAATATGGATGTCTGATTTTACGATAATATCTATAAAATACCTACATTTATCTACAAATAAACTACAGTGTGGGATATGCCAGCCTCTCCCGTCATAGAGGAATATCAAAGTGAGATTGTAGATAATTTGTAGACAAATTGTAGTTAATTTGTAGATATAATTGTAGATAAACTATTTTATGATTGTAAATATTTTTATTGTTGTTTGTTATGTAATTCTAGGTGAGGGCTTCAACAGATCATATCCATACTGTGATAGATGGTGTGAAACGGTACATGAATCCTACATTATAACTACTATCAAAAACAGAAACAAAAACTCTACAATTATGTATAAAACCAGCTCTACAATTTAAATAAATTTACCTACAGTTTACCTACAGTGAATGCACAAATTACCTACAGTTTAAGTACCTAATATAAAAATAACTACAATTTACCTACAGTTACAGGGCAAACAGGCAACACAACATCCACAATCATGTCTACATTATATCTACATTTTAGACTACAATTAATCTTGTAATGTTCTACATAAACTACAAACTAACTACAATTACACTACAAACAGTAAAATACAACAATAAAACTATTCTGTCCACAAAATATCTACAACTACAAAAGGCAGAACATCACTACTACAAATAACTTTTTTTTAATTACTTTTTTTTGCTTTTGTTTCCCTCGAACTTCCCCGCCCCCTTCTATTTCTAATTAAATTCCTAAATCAAAAGACCTCATATACCCTTCAAGAGAGTTGTACGCTAAACTTTAAAGCTAGAGATATGTATAGCTATGTTGAAAAATAATGGTGCCCCCGTCACCTTCAAATCTTCGGTCCGCCTCTGCTACCAGTATCCATTATCACTCAAACCACAATTATATTATTATAAACTTACTGTAATCTCGTCGTTTATGGCAATGAAAATAATAGAAATTGGTTAAACATGCTCAAATCCTCCACAACCTTTTTACTGGGTATGGGTAAAAGAACGTGGGTACGGGGCTGAGGGATTCAGAGAGAGAAAGTAAGGGAGGAGTGGAGATACTGGGCGGGTAACGGAAACCCTTTAATTAAGGAGTAAAAAATATCTCATTAATTATACCCTTAATTAGTTATGGTATAGAAATGGTAATTTGGTATACTAAGTGTAATTAAGTCAAATCTTAAACATTGAGGGCAAAAAGGTTTCCTATGTGGTATAGGAATGTAAAAATTTCTTTATTTAATCCATATATATGTTGGGCTTAAATAATCCAATTATATTAGCCCAATAAATTTATTTGGACTAATATATTTAAAAAATAGTCCGCATTATTTTATCGATTTAAATTCGATAAAATTTAAATGCTTACAAATGCCCCTACTTCAAGACGTGTCTAAGTATAAATTCGTTGAGCTTCAAAGGCGAGTCTTGAAGTACCCTTTCTTTGGCTATATTTACTCCGATCGGTAGACATAAGAGACATCAACTTTCATATAATTTGTAAACTATCACATAGTTCATTGAGTGTTGCTCCTGATGTAGACTTTAATTCATGAATGGACCAACTTAAAAAAATAGTTCTTTGCTTATTAAAGTCAACGTGAGCCTCTTGGCACTTAAGATCCTTTCACAAGTAGCATGATGTACTAAAATATCAACTCTAGAACATCTGGTCAAGTGTAGTATTGTTGCACTTTATCCATTTTACCAAAGTTTGACCTCATTGGCTCTCTAGTAATTCTATACGGAGGCGCCGCCTGCATGGGATCCTTTCCTTTTATCACTTATTTACTTGGGCAAGGAAAGGTTTAGGCTTCTGACTTTAGCAAACACAAATCCTTGTAGAAAACAAATTACACTCATTCCCACATCGAAAATCAAGTTTTGTCCGCCGCCCTCCATTATCTATAAATACATGTATGACTCGCCTGTGTAAGTATCAATTCGTAGTATGGCAAGCCACTTTGCGTCCATTTTTGATGACTTAAAAGCATTGACGCAAAGATAATTTCTTCTTCTTTTCTTGTGCTTTTTTTCTTTTGTCATTTTTTTTGTAGGTCAAGCAAGATTCTTCTTCTTTTCTTGTGCTTTTTTTCTTTTGTCATTTTTTTTGTAGGTCAAGCAAGAAGGATATGTTCTTGTCCAATAAGATGATCCACGCATGAAGAAGGCGGTGTTAGGGTGTGAGGAGATAGGTACTCATCCCTGCCCAAATATCGGAGAGATTATTCTCAATGTGGCTCGACTATCGGCGATGCCAACTAAAGGTGCAAAGGGACTCATATGTCCACCTTAAGATTGGAAGACTTATATGTCCACAGAATGTGGCTAGACTATCGGAGAGATTACTCTCAAAACGGCCCGACTATCAGAGAGATTACTCTCAATGTGGCCCGACTATCGGAGAGATTACTCTCAATGTGGCTCGACTATCGGCAAGGCCAACTTAAGGTGCAAATGGAATCATATGTCCACCTTAAGATTGGAAGACTTATATGTCCACAGAATGTGGTCTGACTATCGGAGAGATTACTCTCAAAACGGCCCGACTATCGGAGAGATTACTCTCAATGTGGCCTGACTATCGGAGAGATTACTCTCAATGTGGCTCGACTATCGGCGAGGCCAACTTAAGGTGCAAAGGGACTCATATGTCCACCTTAAGATTGGAAAGTTATAAAGCTTCAACTCGAAGACGACATCGACTTG